TTAATACAACAGTCAACTCAATAATAATTTTATAGAATACCTTTATTTAAAGTAAGATCTTATTAATTTCCTTTCTATCTTAATTAAAGGAAAAACAGAATTAATTAGATTTTAAAAAAGAACTCTTGAACTAGTACATTTGGTGGATTATTTCCAGTAATAAGGAAGTATTTAATAGGTCAAGAATAAGTAAATTTGACTACTTGAATTGTTTATTTTGATTTTATGTTTCATTTATAAAATTAAATAAATTTAATTAAATGATGAGTAATTTTTCAAAATTGAATTTAATTGATTATTCATAAGTATTAACCTCTTTTTTATTTAAATCTTTCATTTTAAAATTATTTTACAATCCATTAAAAAAGAAATCATTTATCTGATAATATAATATGATAAATTAAGATTTATAATAAATTATGATTAAACAATAATTCTTATTCATAAATATTTTTATTTGAATTACTCATTAACCAAAATTATAAAAAATATATTTGATTTAACATTTATTGGATCCTTAAACTCATTGTTCATTCCATATTGATGCTATTTTAATCTATTTTTTAAATCATCCAATTTAGATATCTCTTTTACAATAGCAAATAACCAATAATTATTGTAAAATTTTTGATTCTTTTAATAATTAAAAAAAAGAAACCCCAATCCTACATCTTATGAATATCTTTAAATGCATCACATAAATAGTGCAATACATCATCTTCAATTCTTTCAGATGGCAAGCTCGTATGATACCCAAAACCCTAAATGCATTATAGTAACTCATAAGCTAAATACAGAACCTTGCAAAAAGGAATTTTCTTGAAATACCTAACCATATCTAGCTTCATCGAAATATTAGGTTATTCCTTTTTATTCCCCAATTTAAATTAATAAATTTAAGGAGTTTGCTATCACTAAAACTATGAAGTCTAAATATTTTATTTTCTCTGTTACTCTCTTTAGATTCAAAAAAGTTAAAAATTTACTCGAACTAAATAAATTAATTATATATAAGAATATAATTATATTTGGATTTAATAATAATTTAATGAGAATCTTAAATAATGACACAAAAATATTAAAATAAATAAATTGAACACAAATATTGTTATTTTGATTATTACAAGTTCTGGAATTAGAGCATGATCAATCTTATATGATATCTATAGTTTCTTGGGTTGACTTTCTACTTATTTACGAATATAATTTTCAAACCTACCTACTTTAGAAAGTAAATACTATGGGGATTCGTTAATTGATATATATTTGGAAAATGAGATAAAAATCTACAAAATTGTGGAATATCAAATTGATATCTTTAAAATTTATTAGGAAATCAAATTGATTTATCGTCATCTTCAGAGCTACTTTTAAAATAAATAGGGAAATTAATAAATATTATTTAAATTTTACATTATCTAAGGAGCAAGTCATTTAGTCTCTTACGATTAATAAACCTATAATTTTCAAATGTTGCTAGAACTTACATTATTTAACCAATAAAAAAAGAAGTAAAAATTACATATTATTTTATAAGATTTTGGATGATTATTTATAAAGATGATGAAAATACTCTTAATTTTTTCAAAAACAAAGAATTTACTTTAGAAAAAGGAGAATAATGATAGAGAATTAATTTATATGAAAAATCTGTCATATTTCACATCGATGCATCTCAGATGGACTACATCGTGTGAAAAATGGGTGATTGTAAATGCCATTTAAATTCAATTGAGTTTATTAACAATTCAGTAGATTAATACTATTATTGGAATGCACACTTAAGCAAAATACTAAAATGCTGATGAATGTTCAAGCTTCCTTAAATATTAGACTCTGATTCTGAATGAAGAGCCCTAATTTCTACAGCTCAGAGTTGAGAAGGATTTCTTTGAAGTAGAAAATAATTGTTATAAACATGAATTCAATAAAATGGTTCTACAAAAAAAATACCTAATGTGTTTTTATTTAGATGGAAGATTTTAGAAACAATATGCAAAAATCCTTCATAAGCTTTAATAATAGATATAGAATTTCGAGATTTTCTCCATCTTGTAACACAAAATATAATTGCGGATGAATTGAAAGATAATAATGTTCAATTTATTAAATAAAGGAAGTTATTGGAAATGATTGATTTGGCTTATAAAAGAATTTATTGACAAGATATGTGAGTATGCCTTGAATAGTTATACAAAAAATGAAAAATTTCAAGAATACTTGGATATTTTTATAAAACATGGAAAGGTTATATTAAATACAAATTGCGGAGCAGCCATTAGATAAGAAAAATGCAATAAAACTACAACAGATACCCCTTGTGATAATGCTTCGTGGTCATTTAATAATTCATCATTTATAGTAGATATTCTGGGGGTGGATGCATGGAATGATCAATTATATGGGAAACTATAACTAGAATTGAAGGATTTTATTTAACAACTGGAAGAAAGGAATGGGATTCATTTAAAGTAAGATGTATTGATAAGTCTTGTTAAACAGCTCCATAATTTTTTCAGCTTGACATTTGATTTAAATCATAATATGGTTGAATATCTAGTTAATAATAATCTTGCAGGATGTATAAAACCACCAAATCCATCTTAATAACGAAAGCATTAGACCCCATATTTTTATGGGTTTTGTTCCTATATAACATGTAAAATGCCCATCTTTACTTCTAATTACCAGCTATTTAATAGAATATTTTGGATTAAAATGTGTTTTAGATTTTCCAACATGTTAAAATGTACTCTAAGGTTGGAGTTGTGAAAGATATTTAACTACAAAGTATTAAATTTTTATGGTTATTGATAATCCATAAATTCTAACTGCTCATTAATTAGATAAGGTAATTCATACATTTAAGCTGATTATTGTTTTAATAATAAAGACGAGTAAGGTAAAGATGTGGAGATACATTTAGAATGAGTTGACATTTGTTAAAACACATCTTTTGAAAATTGGATAATACCATAAAGTTCTTCTTATTATAATAATAATTTAAAGACATCAATGTATCTGCATAGCAAAAACCTTTTGATTAAAATTCTAATTACTGTTGATGGCAATACTTCTGGAACATCTCGTTCTTCTAGTTTATGCTCTGTTAACACAACTAGAACCAAATGAATTCTAGCAAAAAAATACATGAGCTAAATATTCATTAAAAGATTATGATCATTCAATAGAAGGAGGCGAATAATGTTTTTGAATAATCTTGTATTAGAGGTGTGATTCTGATTTAGTTAATATTAATAAATATCAAAATTACTTATAAATTCATCTAATCGTGCTTAAAGAGATGAGAGATGCTATAAAAAAAATTAAATTCAGTTGAGACCAATATTTAGTTTAAAATCAATGTAATATTGATGCTTTTGGTAATATTTCTGGTTGAAATGGTAACTCATGTAAAAATCAAAGTTGGAATACTACATCATCCAATATAAAATTTAAAGAAACGATTAAATAAATTACAATTTATTCTTAAAATATATGAATTAATACTAGTTTCATAATCATAGTATGAATGTTCAAATTTTCTAAATTATTCTAAAATGAGTACTTAATAGAAAATAATACAAACAAATCAATAGATATCATTAATAATCTCATTTTACAATCAAAATTGTGAAAAAGCTCCATTATATTTAAATATTTAATAATAATTGTAAGAGTATTTTTAATCTTCAATAGGGTCATGCAGAACTAATATTTTTGGAGGTTGTGTTCTCAAAGGAACATGTTTTGATGCTAATATATTAAATGCATATAAAATTAGTAACACTGGAGGGCTGAGATAAAATTAAATATTTTTAGAAGAAAATAATATTAAGACTATTTGATACTACTCACTAAGAATGTACAGTTGAATTTAATAAAAGATGTCAATATTACAACTTATTAAGATACCAATTTAAAACTGGTTGTGTTGAAGGTATGATGTATATTGTTTATGAATAGATAAATATAAAATTATACAAATTCTCTTGGTTCTTGTTTTCCATACGATTCATATAAAAGTTTAAAATGGAACTCACATGCTTAATATTAAGAGCTATGTAATGCACAACTGATGGAAATTAATCTGTATCAAAGTTACAAAGAAATTGGTATTGATATTATAATTTAAATCATTTTATTCTATAATTAATATTAAGCATCCCATTATTAAAATAGTTGCATTTAATTAAAACAATATTTTAAACACATGTATAAATAATGTCATATCAATCATAAGGGAATTGTTAGAGATGTTAAAGGAGAAATATTATCAATCGGGTTGTTTATTTGGGATTCAATAACATTCACTAATATCATATCTACAACTTATCTAGAATGTTAATCAAGACTAACTTATTGTACAACTAATTGCAAACAATGTTTTCTCAAAGTATCTTGCACATCCTATTTTTCAGAGGAGATTTGTGAAAATGCAGAAGGATTCGATCATAGATAGAATTTGTGTTTGGGTTGAGGATAAATAATAAAATTATATTTTAATTTAATAATAAACAAATGAATTTATTTCACTATCACAAATAATAGTTTGTTACAATTAATATTAAGACTCTTAAATCAGGAGATTGTTACGTAAAGGCAGTAAAGCTTCATAGATGGGATCCATATAAAGGCTTATGTATTTCATGGGAAAAACCTGTAGATTAATAAATGAATTTAGTGATATTCTTGGCATACTCATAAAGTTGCTGTTTTTGATCGATTGAACTATTTACAAGTTGTAAATATAATAATAATTTTTTTTATTTTAAATAAAATTAATTGTTATAAAATTTTTAATTTACCCAATATTAAGATATTTGATTACAATAGATTAAAGAGTCAAGATTATCATTTATGAAAACACCCTTTTTGAGTTATAAATATATATGATCATTATTATGTTGAAATTTATAAGCTTTCCTCTTTTATAAGAAAAATATTAAAATATATTGCAAATTAAATGACAATAAAATAAATAATTTCTAGTTAATCAGGTATACCATCGCTTCTATAATGATTAAACTATATTTTAAGTAAAATCTAGTTCAAATGTATCAAGATTATTCTCTGCATTCGAAATAACCTTTGATAGTACCATTAGAAAATTTGACATTTATTGATGCTGATAACGAGTGTTGGATTGCTTTGCCTTGTTGCATTAAAAAAAGGCATCTTTAATGAACTATCCTGCACAGTTCTTTAAGTGATTTTTACATAAAATGTCACCTTATTCAGTTAAGAACAAAGGTTCTCCACATTAATGATACCAAACTCTCTCCTTATTAGAATTACATATGCAGCTAGAAGGGCAGGAGCATTTTAAAAGTAAAATTATTCCCTTATTAAATCCTCCTTTTGGTACACTAGAAGGATCATAAGATATTTGTTTTAAAAAAGTAGAATCTGAAATATTTAGTTAAATATTCTTAAAGAGATCGTAATAAATCATTAATTTACTATTATAATTGCTGATTTTCATAATGTTTTTATTACAATTATTACTTATTGGATATGAATATTTCTTCCAATTTTTATTTTTCCTTCATGTTTTGAATACTTAAATTCTTCAATTCATCAACTAATTTTAACTATTATTATTGATTTTCTTAATTTTATTATTATAATTATTAATTATTGGATTTGATTATTTCTTCCAATTTTTATTTTTCCTTCATGTTTTGAATACTTAAATTCTTCAATTCATCAACTAATTTTTACTATAATTACTGATTTTCTTAATTTTTTTATTACAATTATTAATTATTGGATTTGATTATTTCTTCCAATTTTTATTTTTCCTTCATGTTTTGAATACTTTAATTCTTCAATTCATCAACTAATTTTTACTATTATTATTGATTTTCTTAATTTTATTATTATAATTAATAATCTTTGGATTTTATTGTATTTTTTAATTCTTGATTTTTAGTTTTCTCTTTTTCATAAAATAATTAATATTGATTACTTTACTTTTCTATCTCTATATGTAAATATTCCTAATTCTTTTTAATTTCATTTTCTATTGATGACGACATTATAAATGTTATTTAGTTAGTGAATTAATTTCTTAATGATTCATTGTGGATATCAGGCAATGACAACTATGGTAACGAGTTTCTTAAATAAAAATCACTTTATTATTCTGATTATATTTGTAATCTTTAATTAGAAAGTTATTTAATATCATTAATTGTTTAGCCAAGGAAGTCACTTATTTTATTGAATGAAGACTAATGAATAATCCAAAATAATACATTTATAATATTTTATTGCTACCAATTAATCATTTCGACTTTATCTAGTTATTCTTAATCTTAGTGCATTTGAATGATGAATTAAATTATTTATTTTTTTTCAAAAATATTGTATTTCTATTAAAATGAAGATATTTAAGTAATAATGCATCATAAAAAATTACTAAAATATTATCATTAATTTCAATTTGTTAACTTTTTACTATAACTTAGTCTTAAATATTTATTCCAAAGTTATTACTCAATCTATCCTAACTTTGAGATGTATTATTTTCTCGTTTATTACCTTATATAATTTTATGAGTATATATTCAAAGACATCAATTTAATAGTTATTGGCTCTAATGTTTTGATTTAAAGTAAGGAATCTATTATTAATTCATGGGTCAATTTAATAAGGAATGAGTTTATAATAACTATCACTTTTATGTTATTAAACTGACCACTTATAAGCTGGAATTAGAAAAAATAATGCTGTAATTTCAGATTAATAATCAAATATAGTTATCAAATTATCTGTTACAATCTCGGTTTTTATGATAATAAATTTTTGAGTTTATATTATATTTGTTTACTTATTTCTTACACTAAATAAAATTTTTCTAATCTTATTCTTTTCATAACAATCTTATTCAAACAACTTAACCTTTTGATCTATCATTAACACTTCAAATCCTTTTCATAAATCATATTCTTGATTATGAATTTAGATTTAAATTTTAAAGAATATCATAACTTAAATTTTTTAATTTATTTAGACTTATATGAGGAAATTCAATATGATTTTGAATTATTAAAGGTCTAAATTAAAAAAATTATTTTTGTTGAACAATTTGTTGGTTGCTACCTCATCTAAATATACGAAATTGAAATTTTCTTTGAGA